TTTGTTTTGACCAGAAAATGCCGAACCTCCATTGTTCCATTCTTGTAAAGAGAAGAGGGAAAAGCAAAGAGGTAGTTTCTCTGAAATTATGTGAGGTGGAATTAAACGTCCTGAACAACAGCTTTTAAGTGAAACGCAGCAGGTGTTGGGCTCCTGGCAGAATTAAACATCTCAAGCATCGGTATTGGTGTGTGCACATTTTCCTTACACATGCCTGGTAAAGAAAAGCACAGTAGTGTTGAGTGAACGTGTGAGGTGCTGCAATAAGAAACAATTCCATGTTGTTTTTGTTCCAAACAAACACAAAGGAGCAACCAACAGGTAAAACAGGAGGTGGCGGGTAGCGGTCGTGTTTCTATCTCCAGCTTCAGTGAAATCATTTTGAAACGTCGAAGCTGACCTCGAACAACTTCAACAACTTAAGAGGAGACAAGATGGTGCCGTGTGTGTGTGTGTGTGTGTGTGTGTGTGTGTGTGTGTGTGTGTGTGTGTGTGTGTGTGTGTGTGTGTGTGTGTGTGTGTGTGTGTGTGTGTGTGTGTGTGTGTGTGTGTGTGTGTGTGTGTGTGTGTGTGTGTGTGTGTGTGTGTGTGTCTGCAAGAAAGGCTCAGGTGGTGTGTCCCTTCATGGGAAGCCCAGTTCAAATGACCAAGAGATAAACTTATTTATTTATTTATTTATTTATTTCGTTTAGATGAGATTGTCATTACTACATCCTTGTCTTTAATTCTTCATTTTTATTTGTTTAATGAATAAATATGTGTCCTTTTCCTGTTTGATCCCTTTCTTTCTGCAAAGATTGTGTGCCTCTACTCCCATCTAGTGGCCAATTTTTGTAGTGCAGTTTCAGATCAAAATCAGGTTGAAATTATCAATCAATCAATCGATCGATCAAAGCTTTATTTATAAAGCTTTGATTATGACTAAAACTATCAAAACCTTTTTTAGAAACCATTTTGTAGTAATAGTTTTAACTGGATCCATTTAATTACTCATCTGCTTTTCTAACTGTGGTTATAAAAACTCATTTTGTAAATAAATAATTATCTGAACTTGTCTGGAAAAAGTCCAGAACAGCCATGAAACTTGCCAGTTTGTCGCTAATTGGAGGTTCAAGACATTTCAGCTGTTCTGTGTTTAATGTGTTTAATAAATCTAAGGTTTCCTGTCATTTATGTTGGGTTTGTTTCCATAAAATTGCAAAAAGACATTGTGGAGGCTCTGCTGCTGGCTTGGTTTCAGTAAATCATAACTGAGTTAGAAACAACAGCAGCACCTCTGACTGGAAATCAGCTATTTTTAATGTACTTGTTCATTTCCTGCTATGAGTGTCAGTGAAATGTTTGCTGTGAGGAGAGCCTACCCATTCAGGAAATTAGACTACTGAAACTTAAATGCTTTCCAATGACTCCGGTTCATTCATCAGCGTTGTGGTTTACTATCTGCTAGTCACTGGTGTTAAAGTAGGAGGAAATAAAGAAAACTATTCTTTAAGTCAGTATCCAATCCAACTAGGTTCAAATGAAGGAAAACACACTTCTTTTGGGAGGTGCATGAAAAAAATGAACAAAACAAAATAAAACGCACATTTTTTCTAAATAAAACTACAACGGGGATCACACTCCTGAGCCTCCCTGGTAAAGTCTGTTCAGGGCTTCTGGAGAGGAGGGTTTGTTGGATATTCAAACCTCGGATCCAGGGGGAGCAGTGAGGTTTTTGTCCTGGTCGTGGAACACCGGACCAGCTCTATACCCTCACGGGGTGCTGGGGAGTGCGTGGGAGTTAGCCCACATAATATGTATGTTTTCCGTTTATACGGAGAAGGAAGTGACGCGCCACCATCAGCGTCTGCAGCCGCAGGTGAAACGTAGCGAAAAAAAACAGGTAACGAAACCGTTTCTGTGTTTTAAAAAAGAACGACAGCATGGAATTAGAAACAAGAACACACCTAAGATGGTTAGGATGTCTCCTTGGTGAGGTTTTCTGGGCAGGTCCAACTAGAAGGAGGGAGACCCAGGACACACTGGAGGAACTATGTTTGGGGAGAGGGAGGTCTGGGCCTCCCTGCTTAGGATGCCCCCGCAATCCGACCTTGGATAAGCAGATATGGATGGATGGATGGATGGATGGATGGATGGATGGATGGATGGATGGATGGATGGATGGAAAAATAAACACGATTAACTACCATGCCAAAAAAAGTATTTCTGATGTTTCAGCAGATCATTAATAATAATAATAATAATAATAATAATAATAATGCATTGAACTTATATAGCGCTTTTCTAGACCCCCAAAGACGCTTTCACACACTCTCACATTCACACACTGCTAGTGATGGTGAGCTACTTGTAGCCACAGCCGCCCTGGGGAGGTCTGACAGAGGCGAGGCTGCCATTTGGCGCCGTCGGCCCCTCTGACCACCACTAACACAGGCAAGTTGGGTGAAGTGTCTTGCCCAAGGACACAACAGCAGGATACCCCTGGCGGGAGCTGGAATCGAACCCATGACCCTCCGATCATGAGGCAACCCACTCTACCACCTGAGCTGCTGCTGCCATAAACAGAATAGGGTTTATCTGATTACACAGTTTGTTAATCCATTAACTAAAATGTTTGTTTTAGTTCTTTTCTTTGTTCTTTTGTTGTTGTGTTTTTATTATTTTGTTGGGCTAAAAAATGCAAAAAACATTCACAATAAATTCTTCAAAAGTTCTTTTTGTCGATGTTTTTGGAATCTCTCATCATCTTCCCAACTTCCCTTTCTTTCCCCACCCCCTTGTGTTCTTCTCTTTCTCTCGGTTCCCCAATTCGTTTGTTCCTCTTCCATCGTAATCCCCTCGTGCCTCTAACGCCTCCTATTTTCTCCCTGCACCTCCTCTCCCTGCCATGGGCAAACCGTCTGTGATGCTCCGCTAGACCCACCCCGGGGATAGGTGTTGGAGCAGAACTGGCTCTCCTGTCCCGATATGTGTGTGTGTGTGTGTGTGTGTGGGGGGGGGGGGGGGTCTGAATGCGCCAGGACTGAGAGGTTTTGTGTTTCTGTATCAGCTGCTTGCTGATGGGTATTTACCAAAGCACACACGTGTTTGCCCTGCAGCAGAAGCGTGCACCTGTCGGTTTTCCTGTCCAGCTTGACGTCTAATTGCTGTTTTCAAGTTAGTCCTATCATAACAAGCAACTGCTTCCAAACAGACCCACCGTTGATGTCCACTTATTATTTACTCGTTTTTTGCTAGAAGTCATAGTTTTTGCCTAGATTATTATTGTTGTTGTTATTGTTATCAATTACAAATATTACCAATGTTCCCTGAAAGAGAGAAACAACATAAAACACATCAGAAATTATACACATCAGTTATGAAATTCACAACTTACAAACCTGAGAAGTTTATTTTATTCTATTATTTAGTGTTCCAATTAAAAATATTTGATTCATAGTATTAATGGTATTAAAATGTGTGGGAACGTTGTTAAAATGTACCCGTGCAGAAAAGAAAATATGTAAAGTACGACTTGACCAAGAGCCATGACCTCAACTTTATGGAATAAAATGATAACTTTGGCTATTTTTTCTACCCTTGCAGCATTTTTACTATTTGTAAATGTTTAAAATATGTTTTATTTTCTTTTAAAGGAGCAAAACTTGATTTCCAGGTATCGGGTGGTTCAAGAGAAGATAAAAAAACTACTCATGGGTTTTAAAAAAGAAACAAGTGACATTTATTTTGAAATTCAGCTGCATGATGTTTTTTTCTAATCTGCACAAACATTTTTTATCTCATTGCAGATTTTTTAATTATTCGTTTTTGATCTTATAGAATTTTTTAAATAACAAAGACCATCTGAGACATACAAAGCAGTACCTACATACAAGCCAGAGCACTGATGACCTTGTGACTTATCTATCATCTCTCATCCTAAACCAGCAAAGTTAAAACAGTTAATGATTGTTCAATAATAAACATCCGCTCTGTGTTGGGTTTTAGTTTGTGGGTCAAATTCTGTAACTTAGTTGAGAGATTTCTTTATTATTGTTGCCAGCAGGCATCTAAGACACTCTTTATTACTTTTTAACAAAATAAAATCTTTCAGAGTCGGTCTCCTACCTTTAGGTGACATTGAAGACATTTTTGTGTGTTTTTTTTAATTAAGATCAACTCAGATATTAATTTAAATTGGTATAAATGTAGAATTTTGTGAAAAGAGTAATCAAAGAAACCAACAAAATATTCAGTCAAATTTATTAGAAATTCTCCAAACCTTTTTTCGTTCATTTATTTGATTAAATCAGCTGCTTCAGTCTTATCAGATGCGATTTATTTCACTTTTCCCCTCCTTCTGCCTTGCTGTGTTGAAACGTGTGCATCAGGCGACCGCTGCGGTGGAGGGAATGGTCATGTTGGTGGTTTACTGGCGAACCGAGACTCTTTAGCATGAAGATGTTGCCTTCCCTGACGCATTGTAATGTCAGACTTTACACTTTCACTGTAATACATGAACGTTACCGAGTGAATGACTCAAATGTAAAGGTGAAAAAAGACAACCATCTTCATTCAGCTTTTTTCTGTACATGCTGCAAATGTTTAACTGTAAATATTTTTTTCATAAAACTAATGTTAAAGTCGAATTTTAGCTATTGGCACCAGTTTTATATGTCATAAAGCTTTATGCAGTAATCAGACGTTTGCTGTAATTTGACCTGCAGTGTTGATTTTTCTCAAACCATCGCAGTACAAGTTGAAGTAGAATGGCATTCTATGCAGAAAGTATATCCCCACAAGTTGTTCCGTGTAAGGTCTCGTTCCATGGGAGAAATTGCTTAAAGCAAAAAAAATTGACGGAAATTTGACGAAAAATTAAGAATGTAAACAATTCTTATGCATATAAATGAGCTTCAATGATTTTATAAAATAGCGCCTTTGCTACGCTGAAGGTGGCTAATGCTGACATTCCCGATGGTCTCCAAATGCAACACGGAGTGGTGGGAGGGAGCGGCTGCTGGCTTGTTGACTCAGTAGGAGCCTCGGCTACGCTGCAGCAGCTACAGACATAGCTAGCACCCTGTAGTTCAAGCTGTTTGATCGACGCGATTTCAGTTATGTAGCTGAAGATTTATAAAGATGATAACCATTTCGGTTAATTTTAAGAAGATGCCTTCTTGTAAAAACCGGAATCGGGTCAGTTTTGAAGCTCTTTTGTTAGCCTGAGTTAGAAGACATAAAGGGCTTGAAGTTCCTTCGGAGTGAGGTGACTAATGCTGGGCTGACCAGACGTAGCTCGTGATGCTATGTAGTCAGCTAGCCAGCTGTGTAAAACATGGCAATGTTAATACTAATAGAAGCGTTAAGGCCGTAAACTAGTTCCAGCGTTAGTGACGAACGGTTTCCTGAAGCAGTCGTAACCAAACGGTCCTGCCTGGCTGTAGCGCTGCTGGCCTCGGACGTTAGCGGAAGGCTACCGAGCTGCACGGCTGGCTCGTCAGCTACCAGGGTGAGTGTTTACACTCGCTAGTACTTCCGTGGTAATATTTGTCCAGTTTATTCATAACGGTGTGCGACTCGAAAGCTTTAAAGTTGAGCTGGGTTGTGTGAAATTTGCATTTTTAATAAGCGCGGAGTGTGAAGTTACGTTCGAGGCTGCTAGCGATAAGTTGATCTCTCCATGGCCTTGATGGGTTTTGTGTATACTTGACCTGATGTGGTTTCAGCCTTTCACACTAAAGCTGGGGTCGAGCTTAAACCGGGTCTTATTGATGGCAGAGTCTAGAAAATACACTTAAATATTAAACTCGAGTCTTTAGTCTTTTGTAGAAAAACTTATTTCCCAACACATAAAAGCTAAACAACTTGAGGTTTGCACTGCCTCAGAGCCTTAAAGCAACTCTTGGTCCTCCGAGGAAATAATCGTGATCAAATTCATAATTGGATTACTAATACAGATGCATATTTTGTGAGCAACATTTTATTTAAGCAGTTTTTTAGGAAATATTTACTTTTATTTAATCACCTTCCCATCTCAAGTGATGAAGCTGGTCATTGAGGGCGTTTAAATTATAGCTGTTTAAACTGGGCTTAAGGGTTTAAATACTGAAGCTTTATAGGAAATATTTATGTTTGATGTTTTTAAAATCAAAAATGAAAGTTCCCGACATGCCTTGACTTCTGCTTCATGTTTAAGCCAGCATTTACATTTGCAGTACAAAGATGACGCTTTTATTTCATGATCAGTTTTTGCATTTTTCAAAAACTTTCTTCATTTAACAGCTCAGATGAGGCGTTTGGTCGTTACAACATCTGTTCTGGGGACTGTCTTTGTCCGTGTGCTCACCCACTAAATAATCTTTATTTTACATTTTTGTAAAAACACTGTTAGGAGGTCTTTTTTTTCAAGCTTGGAGAAGTTTCAACTGGGCTATTTACCTGTCAGATTTCCCCCTAAATATTATAAGCTTTTTCAATAAACATTATTATATAAAAAAGGAAATTTATGTTAATCGTTGCAACCAGTTTATTTTCTACAGTGATTTTCACACATGCACCGCACTCCTGATATTCACTAAACTTCAACATGAAGCAGTTTGAGATTTTCCAGTCATCTAATTATCATTTCTGGTTAAATGTGTGCTAGAGCTCGTGTTAAATGTGTTCAATGTAAGGAGGACATTCAGATGCATTTTAGTATATTGAGATAAACATATCAAGGAGCCTCATCAGCCTCATTTATTTCCATTATTACACTTTGCATCTTTTACTCCTCCTCTTGAGTTTTAAATCAACACTTGCTTTTGCTCTGCTGCTCAGATTTCTAGCAGGAAAGGTATGAAGCACAAGTGAGAACAATGGCTTGCAAAAGTCTGGCTTAAATTACCACGTTCTCCTGAAAATCTCACGTGTTAATGTGTGAAAATGGGCTTAAGTTCAGATGCATGTTTAGTGTTTTTACATCTCAAGTAAAGAAGAACACAACTTTTGACGTGCATTTGGATCTCGACACGTTGGGAGCACAGACCGATCGGTTTGGTGCAGCAGAACATGATTGTAGGTTAGTTAGTTAGTTATTGTTGCTGTGTTCAGAAAGCATCTGTGTCAATGCTTTGAATACTTGGATGGAAATGATCCCTTTGGTTGGAGCTGAGGCTTTCAGCAGTGACTTACAATGCTGCTGCTCCAAAGAGGAGCAGAGGAGATGTTTACGAGCAGCCTTTTTCATTCACACTGTATTAGATAAGAACACAGTGTGTTTAAAATCTATAAAAACAATAAACTTTAGGGGTAAACATTTCTGTTCTTTATTTAGAACAGCAACCATGTTTCATAACTGTCACTCATTAGATTTACAGATTTTATAACCTGGACAATAGTAGCTCTGTGCTGCAGCTTTATGCAACGCTGTGTGTCTCTTCATGCTTGCACCCCAGTCATGGAGGCAAGCTGCAGATATCCTTCCCGCTGCTGACGTTTTGCTCTTAATCGACTTCAGGGTGCATGTTGCTGATGGCCTCTCTGCCGGTTATGGACACCGTGACAGACTCGTGCCCTGCGGTGCACCAAAATGGGACTGCCCACCGGGAATCTCCGGACACAAGACAAGCTGCTCCCGTTTTCAGGCTTCATTTCTATCACAGCAACCAGGGAGCAGCTGACGGCAGCGTTTTGAGCTACCCACCTGGGGACTACGTGGCTGAGGAGCTGTGTATAGAAGCAGCAAAGGCATGCTGTGAGTACACCAGCCCTGCTCCTCCTCTGAGCCATGTTGTAACGTTTCCTTACGCTTCTGCTGCCACAAAGTTATTTCCTCCAGGAAGTCCGTCAGCGGAACATTTGGTGTGGTTGTGGCTTTGTGTGTTCTTCCACCATCTGTCCTGACTTGAACGCTCTGCCTTGCTCTTCTTCTGTGGTAGAGGTGTGATCTTTGAGTCGCTATGAAAATGTGACACCACTAACAACAGCAGGCCACGCAGGGAGGAACTAGTCACCTGCATGTTTTGTGTTTCACGACAAACCAAAGCACACCTGACATTTTAGACTATCTTTACTGACTTTTTCCCTTCTCTTGGTACTAAAAACAGTTGTCTTGTCCAGGCCCGAGGCCAGGTTTATTAAAGTGTGGGCACTGGCCGTGTGGCTTGTTTTACTTCTCCTAAGCTAATGTTGTAATAAACCCTTTATTTGTATATTTGTACACGTTAGGTATATCACCTCTGTACTGCAACCTCTTTGGCCTCTTTCGAGAGCGAGACCGCGTGTGGTTTTCCCCGAACCACATCTTCCGGCTTGATGAGTCTTCCTCTGAAGATGTGTTTTACAAAATACGGTATAGTTTATTTGTTTTACACGTATGTTCTTGTAAAGCCACACCCCTCAAAGTTAAATCTAATATCCCTGTGACTTTGATGTTTCTACCACAGCTACTACTTCCCTAACTGGTACAGTAGTGGAGCGTCCCGGGCTTCTCGGTATGGGGTCAAAAAAGGGTCAGAAAGTCCCGTCCTTGATGATAATGTAATGTCCTACCTATTTTCACAGGTAAGCACGTACTTGTGTGAACTCTAAATGTGGTTGAGACGTCGTCTGCTTTTGTCTTAACGCGTTCCTAAAGCATCAAATCGGGTTTCTGCATCGGCAGAGTCTCTAAAACGTCCGTGGCTTTGACCTCAGTTGTGCTCTGCAAGGCCACCCTTGTCTGAAATAGTCGTTGCTTCCCGTCTTTGTCCGAGGCCGTTAAGACTTCTCCATAAAGGACATTTTCCTCCTACAGGAATAGCTCACTCGGGATGTTGGCACAGCTTTTTACCTGAGCTGGTGAAGCAGGAAGGACCCGAGTTTTAATGAAGGGTCAGGAAGTTCGGACACGATTAGCGGAATAGTTGGGTGGGACTCTGACCGTTTGCTGCTAACTACTCGCCGAGACAATTCTGGAATGAAATGTAATTATGCTCTATTATTTAGTCATGAAGGCTTTTAATGCAAAAGGAGAAATTTTCTATGATGCAACTGTTGAATATTTATTTCTTCTTTTTTATGCATCCCTTGCTTTCTGTGGTCATCAAGAGCCACGCTTCAGGATTGTTCTACAAGCATGGACTAGAACGTTTGTGTAGGACAAGTCTGGCATTATTTCATTATTACGGATGAATGGATAAGGTTGACCTCTGCGTGACCTACGGGATTATGTGGAATTGTATTTCTGGAACTCTGTCCCAAATGGCCTGGAAAATCCTGGAATGGAATAGATGTTAATTTTTTGTTTTCTCTTGGCAGCTTTAGTGTTTGTCTCTGGCTTTTAGGTCAAAGTACGTTATTGATGTGTGCAGTTTTTACTTGTAACACAGTTCCAACAATTTCATATCTGCAGGACACAAAAAGAGACTTGGACTTTAAAATGTAACCTTGCTTGACCCCCGAATAAAGAAAGGAGTAGGGATTGCCGGAGTGTGTCTGGTGTAGGTAGCTCTGCTCGGTAACGTCAGAAATCAGACCCGAGCTGACCTCTTGTTGAACTGAAGGATTGTGTGGATCTATGCCTTTAACACTAAACGGTGATGAAAGTCTTCTGGGGTGGGGGGTGGAGGTCCTTTTACGTCCTGTTGGGCGAGTACGCATGTTGAGCTTTATTAGGACGCGTGTGCGTGCTCAAGACCAACTGGAACAACGTTGAACTTCCATAAAATTCAGTTTTTTGAAAGAATTCAACAAATTTTCAGTTCAACATCTTGAATTTGTTTTTAATTGGATTACATCTTAAAAACGCGTATTTACCCCGTTTGTCTGTCAGAAGACGACTTTTTGCTGTGAGCTGGGTTTAAACTAATCAACCGGGTTGGGTTTAATTCCTTTCAGTCCTATTCAGAGCTAATAAAAGCAGGTGATATTTCTGTAAGCAGTTTACATTTACGCTTCCATCTAAAAGGAACGCTCGGTGGTGAAGCTAATCCTGAATGTTTCCAGTTTGAAAACAATTTTAATAAACATGTAATTCAGTTTTGCTGAAATGTTTTTAACCATTAATTTAAATAATCTGTTTGGGATTAAGTAATCCATCCATTTTCTTCCGCTTATCCGGAGTCGGGTCGCGGGGGCACTAGCCTGAGGCGAGAGGCCCAGACTTCCCTCTCCCCAGCCACTTGGGCCGGCTCCTCCGGGGGAATCCCAAGGCGTTCCCTGGCCAGGTGAGAGACATAGTCCCTCCAGCGTTTCCTGGGTCTACCTTTAGGTCTCCTCCCGGCTGGACGTGCCCAGAAAACCTCACCAGGGAGGCGTCCAGGAGGCCTCCTGACCAGATGGCCGAGCCAGCTCAACTGGCTCCTGTTCAGATTTTTTTCCCACGAAGAATTTAAACCAATGCAAAAGAAAAATGGAGGGTAAGGTTCGGGTCTGGTCTGCCCAGTGTCCACGCCGTCTTATTAAAGTCAAACAAAAAGTTGCAAACCTGGCGTCACGTAGGCTGGCGGGAAGCCGTCGTTGGTTCGTTGTTTTCATCGTCCTATAGGTCCGCGCGATGCTGCGGGCGCTTGTTCACAAGCATGTTCCAGTGAAAGTATGAAGAGTCATGCCATTAATTTACACGTAACGCCAGAAAGAGCTTCTCAAAGCAGCAAACAAGTCAACTTGTGCAGTTATATGAAAATAAAATTCTGTCTTTATTAGATAAATAAGAGTTTTTGCATTTTAAAATCAAACCTCCTCCCACCCTGAAACCAACGGCTTGTTGAAAAGATCACCGGCTCTAACAAGCGCTGTGCTGTTCCTCTTGCTTTTTGCAGTGGAGACACGATTTTGTTAATGGCTTTGCGAAGCTCTCCAGCTCTCACGAGACGCAGGAAGAGTGCCTCGGTCTGGCTGTTCTGGACATGACCAGAGCAGCTAAGGAGCAGAGCATGTCCCCTCTGGATATCTACCACACTACAAGGTGCTTAAGACGGATGCTGCACGTTGGTTATCGTATGCCTTAGCTCCTATAATTTATGTCTCATACAAATGTCTATTTAAAAAAATGTATTTTATTTTGGAAATAAAAGGAAGCAGCCGTTTTCTCTTTCAGTTGTCAGAATGTCACAAAGTTTAGCTAAACTTGAAGCATCTTGATATAAGCTGACACAAAATCTGCTTCCCCTCCTCCAGTTACAAGTCCTTCCTGCCGAAGGACATGAGGGCTCAGATCCAGGACTGCAGCTTCTTGACACGCAAGAGAATCCGTTTCCGCTTCAAGCGCTTCATCCAGCAGTTCAGCCAATGTCGGACCACGGTCCGGGATCTGAAGCTCAAGTACCTTATCAGCATTGAGTCATTGGAGAAAGCCTTTTACACAGAGACCTTCCAGGTCAGAGAGGCGTCCAGCGAGCCCTCTAGCGGTCAGCTTGTCATCCTGGTTGCAGCAGACACAGGAGTACAATGGCGTCGAGAGAAACTGAAAGATTCCGGCGAGGTTTGTACGCAGCATGGAGGTTTTTGTGATCTGGTGATGTTGGAACAGGATAAAGAGCACAACAACGGGAGGCGCTTCTTCCTGAGTCACAGATGCATAAATGTTTAGGACAGCTTTCATCCAACAAAACACTCCTAAACGTTTCCATTTTCAGAATAAAAGCTCTAAATAACTTTAAGCTGTCTTCAGATGTAAACTCACATTTACCTTGTTGTAGCTTGAGGTGTCTAATGAAGCAGTCTGTCATTTCCATCCTCTTTCTACGTAAGTTAGTAACCTTGTAATGACCACGGAGACACGAGTCTTTCTGAGAAAAGCTGGTATATCACGTCTCAGGTGCACCCCCTCCATGCCCCAACTCACGTCAGTGTCTGCAGTTTATGAACGTTGGTTAGGGTAAACGCTTAACCGTACAACACAAACTCAAGCTTCTGCTAGCCTGACCTACTGATAACACTAGCTTAAGCTACAACTAACGCTTGGTTTATGCTTGACGCGTTTACTTCTCGCTTGGTGATGCGGCTCGCGGATGGAACGCGCTTCACAACTCGCAGCGTTTATGGTTCATGCGGCTTGTGCGGTGAGCCAATATCCTCCCAAACTGTAGGGGGCAGCATGGAGCTCTACGGCATGCATCCAACACTACACCATAGTAGAAGTAGAAATGACTGTTTACAACATGGCATTCCAGCATTTTTAACAGCGTCCTCGTCTTTTCCGACAGTGCGAGCTATTTCTCTCCAAGAATTATTAACATGTTGATCACGGTGATCTCTGAGAGCTGAATCATACAAACGTCTGTATTTACCAACCTCTGCCATACTAGTTCTTGCCAGTCCGCCATGCTTTTCTGTGTCTGACCGTCTGCGTGGTTAGAAAATTACCTAGGTGCGCGGTGCGGAAAGTTTGGGCCGTGCGGAGGCGCGGTGGAGGGGCGTGGTTGTTAAATGGCGCAACTTTTCCGTACGGAGCCGTGCGAACCTCGCGGACGCGTCAAGCATAAACCAAGCTTAACGTCCTAGTTGGACAAGAGGAAAATGGCTCACGTTCCAGGATGTACTGGGAATATCCAGACTATGAATGAATGCCAGATAGATTCCCAGCTTGCAATCCTCGTCCTCTTTCTCCTTCTCCTGCAGCCCCAAACCCCCTTCCACTCACACACACAGTTCCTAGCTTCAGGCAGCATCATTAAGCCACGGGGGTAAAGCAGCCAGTCAGCAGAAGGCTCATTGGCTGGGTGGGCGGTAAGAAGAGTCTTTCCGTTGTCAGGACTTTATTCTGGGTTAGGGTTAGGTCATTCATCGGGGCTTCCGCACCATTGGGAGCCCAAGAAAGTTGTGTATGCTATGCAGAAGCTCAAAGAGCAGCTTCCAGCTGTGAAAAATGACTTTCCGGTACCTTTTTGCATTTTTACATCTAAATACAAAGAAAGGTTTTACTGTGATTTTTTTGCTGTTTGATCAGGAGCTGCAAACCTTGTGTGACTTTCCTGATGTCACTGACATCAGCATCAAACAGGTCAACAAAGAAGGTGCAGGAGAAAGCCGGTTGGTCACCATCAATAAGCAAGATGGCAAGATTCTGGTAACGCTACCTTTCCTAACATCTCAGTTACCATCTGGTATGAAATCAGGCTTGTGCTGATCGCGGCGTTCCTTTTGATTTCAGGAGCTGGAGTTCTCCAGCCACCTGGAAGCCCTCTCCTTCGTGTCTCTGATCGATGGCTACTATCGGCTGACGGCAGATGCACATCACTACCTTTGTAAAGAAGTGGCACCTCCCAGGCTCGTTGAGGCCATCGCTTGTCATTGCCACGGCCCCATTTCGTAAGTTTAATCCTTTTTTTGAGTCATTTGATTAAAACGTAAATAAGATAACACTGAATTCACCTGACTGGCTTCAGACCAGAGAAAATGGTCATTTGCTGTTAGGCTGTCTTCTATCTTGATGCTTCAGACACAGCTCCGTCTCAGAAAACTGTTTAAGCTTCAGTCATTCAGTTTTCAGCCACAAACACAGAATGACTTGTTCTGAAAGGATGTCGGCAGTTCCATAAAAAGATGTTTTGGTGTTTTTATGTTTGTTCTTGTAAATATGATTCATTACATATATTGTTTATTTTGTTCAAATGAAAGCAGATATAAACTTTCATTAGTTTTGTTTTTTAGTGACTGCGTCAGATGTGCACACAAGTGTAATTACAAGTGCATGAAAGGCTAGTTTACTAACGGAGTTGTAAATGGCTTCTTTGGTCATGTGACGGACGCATGAACAACCCGTCATATGTGTCGGTTTCCGTTATCGCCGTGCCCGCCTTCCTCTCAACTCTCTTTCGAGGATGTTAACCTCGTGTGTTTGAATCTGTTCGTTTTTCAAGGAGTGAGTCTCGCCGAGGCTGTCGGCACATTGCTGCAACATCCCATAATATAAGTATTAGTCATGTGGTGGCTGAATTAAAGCAGTGTCCTTCTCTATGGTAGTAGTTAAAAGACCTTTTAGTTGTACGGTTGGGTTTCTGGTCGATTTAACTGCAAACTTGTGTGGAAAAAATTGGAATGTTACCAGATGATATACAAAACTTGTTATATTATTAGATGTGTAATAGGGTTGTCACGGTAACCGGTGTAGCGGTAAACCCCGGTAAAAAAAGTTGACAATAATAATAACAGTCTTGTTTTTTAAAAACTATATTATCTCGGTGGATTAGCGTGGCTGCGGTGTAGGCGCGGTGACCCTTACCAGCCACCGTATCATCGGCTGAAGTTGCCGGCGGCACATGCGCACTTTGTTGTTTACAACCAAAACTTTCTTGAAGCTAAAGCTGAAATAATGGCCGAAGGAGGAGACGGCAGCACTCGGGACATTTATTATCCCTCAAAGAAGACAAAGTGGGAAGTACGGCATCTTTTGGATATCTGAAGAATGCCGAGGGACAGCTGATAGAAGACGGCTGTCCTGTTTGCAGCACGTGCAGAAAAAGTGTCTGTGAAAGGCAGCAACGCTTCAAATCTCATGACACATCTGCGTGACCATCACCCACAACTCTACAGTCAACGCAAGGCAATCTAACGTTAGCGTTTTAGCTCAAATGCGTGATCCGAGGATTTGGGTTGAGGGAGAATGCAACGAGTGGCTATATAAAGCAGCCGCAGCGCCGCTACCTGCATATAAACCGTGTTGCTGACACCGCCATGTTGAAATGACGCTATGCATTACGGGGCTCCCAGGGGCAGATAAGAGTTGGTCTCTCTCCGAGAATAATTATGAATTTAACAACGATTACTGCCTGATGACATTTTCCCACATCTGCAAAGCTCACTGGAAGGACACAAACCGAGGACGATATTTTCCTGATATAGGGTTTATTACTCAAGTAAGGGTAAAAAAGTATCTGATTAGAAGGCTACTTGAGTACTGAGTATCATCTGATCTAATATTTTTAAATGATGACATCAAACATAAAATAAGAAGTTATGGGCAAATATTGGTATTTTAAAGACTAAAGGGAAAAAATGTAAACAAATAAACAACATAATTACAAAATAACACATTTTAGGCAAAATTTAGACACAAACTGAGGACAATATTTCCTGACATACAGGGTTTATTTAGTTGTGTGAAAATGTAGCACGTTTAAAAAAATACCGCGATAATACCGAAAACCGTGGTAATTTTGGTCACAATAACCGTGAGATTACATTTTCACACCGTGACAACCCTAATGTGTAATGGTACATGTATTCAGAGGCTCACCAAGTTCCCTCACTGAACTGTAGCTGCGATGCACTTTAGTCAGCCGCAAAGCGGCTGGGTCCAATCAGCCAATCAGGTCCATGTAGGCTGGTGTCGGTACCGGACATCGGGTCTTTGGTAGAGCAGGAAGACTGGAAGTAAATGGTTGTGAAATTGGATTGTCTAGCCTTCAGAATCTCCCCTAATCCCCTTACCTTGCTGTATATCATGTTGCTTAGCAACTGTGGTGATGGCAAAAAGAAGGTACAACCAAGCTTAGCACCACACAAGCTGCCTCTGTCTCTAACCAGACTTATCTTCTACTGCCGGAGACATTTTCAGCAGACAAGCTGGACATGTATCCTAAAAATAAATGTTGATGAAACTCTTACATCTTACTTGTTTTTAGGTATATTTTTATGTCATGTGAGGATATTTTATTGAAGAATTTACTGCAAGTGAAGTTTTTATTTTAACATAAGAAGATTTCTTTTTCCCTCTTTGTGCCGTCGCTGTAACAAACATGAACTGAAACAGGAAATTAAAACCAAATTACAACCCAATGAAGGTTTACACAACTCGTAATCGTCACTAAATGTCTCAAAAGCTATTCAAGTGTGTTATCGGGTAAAATATTTCTTTGAGTCCTCACTCCCCTTTTTCTTGTAGAATGGAGTTTGCTGTAAACCGGATACAGAAGTGTGGAAACAAGCGAGGGGTGTTCATCCTGAGATGCAGCCCAAAAGAGTTCAACAAGTATTGTTTAACCTTCCCAGTAGAGGTGAGTTTCCCTTCATGCTGCTCCGCTTGTGTCCACCTCACATTTACTTTAGGAGGGCTTTGCTTTTTATCAGTCGTACGGTTTGTCCCTGTATTGTCTTGCTCAGCTCAATTCAATTCAGTTTTATTTATAAAGCGCCAAATCACGACAAGAGTCGTCTCAAGGCACTTCACATAATAAACATTCCAATTCAGGTCAGTTCATTAAGCCAATCAGAAATAATGTTTCCTATATAAGGAACCCAGCAGGTTGCATCAAGTCACTGACTAGTGTCAGTGACTATACAGCAATCCTCATACTAAGCAAGCATGTAGCGACAATGGAGAGGAAAACTCCCTTTTAACAGGAAGAAACCTCCAGAGGATCCTGGCTCAGTATAAGCAGCCATCCTCCACGACTCACTGGGGATGGAGAAGACAGAGCAGACACACACACACACACACACACACACACACACACACACACACACACACACACACACACACATACTGGTTTTTGTGGTATAGCCAGACATTTCTCTCAAACAGGCCCGGTGGTGGTTTACATGGACCACCCTTTCCGAAGGTCCTAGACCAATGGGATGAAGATAAAACCACTGCAAAAAATCTGAAAAAAATTTAGCTCACTTTAGGTCTTAAATATGACCTACACAACATTTTTTACAGCACCCTGACACTGTTGTGGTTAGTATGGACTTTCTGTTTTGTGGTTTTTAAGGACCAAAATAGAACATTACAAGGACTTTAAAGGGACAATTATGTCACATGTACCGCCCATCTAATTACCATAAACACACAACTGGTTTATGAGAACAAAATAAACATTAAGGGGACTTTAAAGGGAGAACTGCATCTCATTTCAAGCCCTTTAAATGGGGATAATTAATCAGTCTGACAAACAGAAATCACTGATGACTGTTTATTCATCAGGTAAAAATAGAACATGGTTTAAACCAAATAACAATAATTGAAACAATAATTGCCCTGCCGTATGTCTTAGAAAAAAAAGTAAAGTGCACTCTTTAGAGCATCAGTGTTTACAATCTTTGTAGTGAGCTAATGAAATCTTGTACCACTGAAGAAAGTACAAATGTTGCATTCAGTTTTAACAATCATGAACAAAAAATAAATAAAAAAAATAGGCTAAACAATCTTAGGGAAAAAAATAATGTACACTCTTTGGAGCACCAGGTTTTAGAATCTTTGCATTGAACTAATGAAATTAAATGCTAGCTTAATATTTGTGAACATAATATACCAGCAAGAACCATCTCAATGCAAAAAAAAAAAAAAAAAAAAAAAACTTCTGTGACTGATTTATTTTTGCTTCAGGGCTTGCCTCTTGGCAGCTATGCCACGGTTTCTCACAAAGTCCCTTATATTTTGCACAGTTCTGTTGGCTAACACAGGGCCCTCAACCAACTTACAATGGCTGCATTCAGTTTTAGAGGCCAGTTTTCCTTTACTTATGTGATTTTTGAAATGTCGCATTACAGCAACAACTTCAGCAGTAGACCAGGGTTTCTTTGGTCCTCTTCTGAGTTCTTGGTTAGAAGATTTTTCTGCAAAACAAAGGTAAAAGGCATTATTGTCATACAATAAGTAATATACTGCCATTACAAACTACCACAGATTTAGACAAAGACAAACTGATGTCTCTGGCAAAATCACTGTAAATAGAGATAAAAGATATAATATATACAAATGTGCGTTAGGGGATACTCCAAAATAAAGTTTAGGGAGGTTTTGCTCAGACTCGTGAAAAGCCAGTTGCAGTAGCCTAATAGGAGATGAAGGTGTGGATAACAATCTCAAGTTCTCCGCTCACATGATTCCAAGATGGAAGCCCCATCTGCATGACAGAAAATAAATTAAATGGACACAGAGGTGGGAAAGGAGGAAATGCTTCTACTTTTTTTGTTGATGAAGTTTCATTGCCGCTGTCATTTCAAGGTTAGGAAAATATGAGTATGGTGCCTGGAAAGAAGGGCCAGGCAAGGAGTTTATACCATTCAACTTTTAAGAGATGCGCCTTGCAATCCCAGAATGCTTCTGACAGTACCGCCGCCTGGATCCTAAATCCTTCAAGAAGGTAGTAGATATGGTGGGGCCATCAATCCAAAAGGTACCGTTTTGTTTATCTTTCTGACATACAGACAGGGAGCTGCATCTGAATACATCTTTTAATCATGTGAGCAGAGAACACGCTTTGATTGGCCACCAGAATATTTCAATTCAGGCGGCATTTCACGTTGTGTGCACAAGGTGAGTTTCTACTCCCTGTGAAGCGAAAATTATCAAACCGGTTTGATTTTCACCTCAGACAAAAAAACTCAAGAGGAAATTAGGCACACACAGCGAGGTATCTGCTAAGCAAACAGTCATTCGACGCCATTTGCTCAGCATTTTGCCCTTGTGTGCAGCAGGTTTAAGGAAAAACGCGTAATTTGGGAAAGCTATGACACACACACAGACATGAGCTAAAAAATGATCCCAATATTTCAACAATAAATCCTCCTGGGACTGGTAGAATTTCCATGCTATCCTGGATTGCAAAGAACGGGTCAAACTAATGAGTTACTCCAGCATCAGGAAGATTAATTCTGTTAAGCTATCGGTTAAATATTTTCCAGAGTTAAAAACATAAACATGCAGCGGTAAAACTAGCAGCAAATTAGTTTATTATCTGTCGATTATTGAATTATATTGAGACAGTATCATGGAGCCAAGACCAGCTGAGAGCTTTTCAGCTTAGAGCACCCAATGGAGCACATAAATGAAATGTTTAACAAAAATAAGCAAACTGCACCGAGTTTGGTTCTGAAGACAAACAGACTCATCCCCGGTGTCCAAACCGGGTCACTGATCTTCTGGGTCAAATGTTTCAAAACATGTCTGCACCTCCGGTAGTGATATCCAGCTAGTAGGGTTGGGAGTTCGGTTGAACTTCTCCGGTAATCTAATATCCGTTCTTTTTGCCATATCACAGAGAAATAAATCCGATTGACCAGCAGAGGCTTCTAAAGCTACATCTGACTGATGACACATTGTCCTCTGCTATAACACTAACACAGAAACACCAGACCTGGGGGTTGTTTTCAATAGCCGTTTTTGCAGACCTCCTTGAACATCACCAGTTGCCCCGGGCTTAGACGTTGCTTAGAAACTAGTTTCTGTTGTTGCCACGCTAGTCAAAAACATCAGATTTTAATTCCAGCTGTGAAAATCCAAAAACATTTTTCACCTGAGATTTTAATACTTATTTACACATGCCATTCAAAGGAATTTTGGTTCTGGCCAGTATCTTTAGCTTGGCAATCTTAGCTTGAGAATTCAAGGATGCAGTCAAAAGATGTCTTGAGAAGCTGGACCGCGGGTAAGTTTGACCTGACTTCATATTGCTTTCTCAATTAGTTCCGGGAATCAATTGTTCTATGAAAATGACACACAAACACAGCTGATACAGTCCTATAACATTATAATTGAAGACCTATTGTCCTTCAAGGCCGCTACAAGACTGATTTTGTTAAACAACTTGGGATTTCCTTTGTCCTAGGACACCAGGTTGGAAAAAATAGGTAACCCTCACATCTCTGTCTGCAGAGTTCTAGGAGATCACAAGATTCTTTAGATGTAGCAGATTGTCGCTGAGACTAGTTTTCTTCCACAGGCGCAAAATGTTTCTGCATTGGCACTTCAGGCTGTTATTAAACCAGGAATTAGGGTTTACTGCAGGAACTGATCTGGTTCTGATAGGAGAGAATGTGGTCCAGAATGGAGAGGCAGTGCTTGTTGAAGTGAGTAGTTAAAGAATCTGGGTCATTATCAAATGAACAAGAAAGCGGCAGGTAATTAGCTAGCTGTGCCCTTAAAAATTGAGACAATGTCAGCATTTAGACCCAGGGTAAAAACAAATGGTAAATGGCCTGTATTTAATATAGCGTCTTCTAGTCCTGGAACCCTCCAAGGCGCTATACAACACAATCAGTCATCCCCCCATTCACACACAAATTCACACACTGGTGGGGATGAGTTACGACGTAGCCACAGCTGCCCTGGGGCGCACTAACGGAGGTGAGGCTGCCGTGCACTGGCACCATCGGTCCATCCAACCACCACCAGCAGGCAAGGGAAGGTCAAGTGTCTTGCCCAAGGACACAATGACAGCAACAAACTGAGCAAGCCTCGAACATGCAATCTTCTGATTACAGGGCAAGCACTTAACTCCTGTGCCACAGTCACCCCAAAAACCAAGGTCTGGACAGTGCCCCTTGGTGTGTGTGTGTGTGTGTGTGTGTGTGTGTGTGTGTGTGTGTGTGTGTGAAGCCAGAAACATGCTAGTGAGTCCATGATGCTGGAAAAGCTCCTGGCAAGGTTGTCTGAGGCATCATTAATGTGAATGTTATAATCACCAAGAACCACCAGTCTGGACAGCTTTACAATAGAGGATAGGAAGTCACTAAACTCCTGAAAGAACTGTTTGAACTAGATGGACCATAAACTACAGCACAGTAAAACATGTCATGCCCGATTTTAATTAGCTGCAGTTCAAAGCAAGAAAAGGGGCCTGAGGTTGTGGAGATACAAGAAGAATTATCTCTAAAAACAATAGCTAGGCCTCCACCTTGACCAGAACCACACAGCTGGCCAAGGAAGGAATAAGCACACGGGCAGGGTTCAATCAGAGCCAGAATAATCAAATGTTTGCTGCTAAACCTTAGTCTAATCAGAAAATCCAGGTTTTTAGAGAGAATCTGATCTTTAACCAGGAAGGACTTATTGTTAATGGAGCAGGTATTTAATAAAGTCATGCTGATGTGGAGAAATCAGCATCTACAGATACAGCTGATGTTGAGTGGATGCAAGTTGGAGTTAGATCTACGGTGTTTGTAATATCCACTCCTGTAGGGAACAGGAAGAGAAACCACTGAAGAATTAAGGTAAACAGCCTCTGTCAGTGCGCCCTAGGGCAGGTGTGGCTACATCGTAGCTCATCCCCAC